CAGGCACCCGTATAACTTGTTGCCGTCCAGGTTGTTGCCCTTTACCTGCGCGCCCTGGCGGCGGCCCCTCGGACAGGTCAGCTGCTCGATGAACGTGTTGTTCTCGTTCACAAACTCCCAGGATTTAGACGCTCTTGATGATGTAGCTGCTGCCATTGGCCTTGCGCCCAGTGACTTGGCGCCAATCTCCTTCTGTTGCTTCGAGATGTTCGGCTTGGTCAGCGGGACCTCTGCGGTCTTCTCCAGCTCCTGGCGCTGCTTCGCCCGCTGGTAGGCCTGCATCTCGGCGTAGAGCGGGCAGAGCTTGTCTCCTCCGTGGTGCCCGTGCTTGCCGCAGTCCGCGCACTTGATGTTCTCGCCCGGTGCTCTCGTCGAAGTCCCGTCCGAGAACGCCGCTGCGGTCCTTGACACACTGCGCCCCTTCTTGACCTGCGCCTTGCCCGAGTAGCGCCCCTCGAGCCTCTCGATCAGGATCTCCTTCTTGCCGTTGGTCTGGAGCCCGAGCTCGCTGAGGTGACTCTTGAGCTCGTACTGCTTCCAGGCCCTGAAATCTGGCGTGGTCAGGATGTCCTTTGGTGCTGCCGACGGCCTCGGGGCCGCCTCTCCACTGCTTGCCGCTCCTGCCGACTTCTTCCTATCCTGGTCGTAGTCCCTGTTGTGGTAGCTGTCGCCCTCGCGCTCGTCGTCTGGCTCCTCCGCCGAGTCCGTGTGGAACGAGTCCTGCTCCTCGACCGCCCCGTCGCGGTCGTCCGAGAGGTCGCCGCCGCGCACCATGTAGGAGGTCGCCTCTTCCATCAGCTCGTCCTCGTCGGCGGTGCCGTCGAGCGTGAAGTGCGACTTGCCTCCGCGCCCAGGCTTCGCGTTGGGCTGGCCGCCGCCGCGGCCTCCGCCTCGTCCTCCACCGCACTTCTTGTCGCCTTGCTTCCCTGTCTTCGGGCACGCAGCGTCTCCTGCCCAATGCCCGATGCGACCGCACGCTCCGCAGCGCGTGCGCTTCTTCTCCTCCTTGATCTGCTCCTGACGCTCCTCGAAGGTCACCTCGCCTTTGAAGAACCCGCACTGCTTCTGCGTGTCCTTTAGCTTCTTCCTCGCCGCGTCGTAAGCGCTGTAGGCCTCGAACACGTCGTCGTCGTCGTTACTGGCTCCGGCGTCGCTCGCGGCCTCTTGGTCGTCGTCCGCCGCGTTGGCGCCCTCTTCGAATTCCTCATCCGAGATGTCGTCCTCGTCGCCGCTACTGTTGTCCTCGACCTGGTTCGCCTTTCCGCCGCGCCGGTTCTGCCACTTGTGCTTGTGGGTGCTGGTCGGCGCGTTCCGTCTCTCCTTCTCGTGCAGGTCGTGGAAGTTGACTCTCAACGTGTGCTGGAACATCTCCAGGTTGTACTCCGAGTTGCTGTTGAGAACGATGTTGCGCTTCTGCTCGTCCGTGAGGTTTGCGCCGTCCAGCAGGAAGTACGCCATCAAATCGTCCGAAAGCGTGGCGTTCTCGTCGCGCTCCTGCAAGTCCTCCCACAGCTTCTCCTTATTCGAGAGGTACTCGCCCATGTCGGTGCCTCGCTTCCGAAAACTCCGCTTGAAGAAACTGTCGAACGCCATGCCCTTCTTGACTATGGCCTCTTTGTCCAGCGTCGCAAGCGCCTCGAAGATCCGCTTCTCGCCGCCATCCGCTCGTACATCCGCGGTCTCCTGTGCGAGGTGTTCCGCGCGTCGCCACGCCCGACCGTGTAGTCCGTCGAGCAGCTTCACCCTGAATCTGCGCTTCTTCTTCTCGAGGTTGGTCGCGATCGCTTCTTCGTCATCTCCGCTGCCTTCCAATCGCGCCAGCGCCAGCATGACTCTCTTCTTGTACTCCTTGAGCAGATAGGGGTTTTGGCCGGTGTAGTGAGGCAGCCCATCTCTGTCCACAACTATCTCATCATCACGGTAGTAAGACCGTCCAGCTCCTTGATCATTCATCTTGCTGCTCTCGCTGTTCTTGGGCTCTGTGTCGGTCCTGGTGAGCGTTCGGCCACGCCCACAATCTCGGAACCACCAGCTCCGCAATACCAGTCTGAAAGCGTATGGTAGATGTCAATGATAAACTTGTTTATCGCATCCACGGCCCCGCGCGGGCCACAAGCTATCTGCGGGGGCGCCAGGCGCCCAGTACAAAAAGCTCTAAGGCCGGCCTGCGGGCCGAGACGGGCAGCGGGCAACGGGTGAGGAGGCAGAGGCAGGTGCACTCAGAGGGGCAAGTAGACAAGGTACTGGTAGGAGAGGGTCAGGGCTAGGCGGGCTCCAGGGGGGTCCTCGGGTACACCTCCAGGGAATCTCAGACTGAGACTCATGATGGTGGTGGTGGTGATGGTGATGATGAAGACTACGACGACGACGAAGACGACAGCGATGACGCATGATGATGACGACGATGAGGATGATGATGGTGATGAGGAGGAGGAGGAGACGAGGAGGAGGAGGAGGAGGAGGAGGAGGACGAGGTCTCAAAAGGACGTAGCACTACGTCTAGTAGGGAATGGCCGAACCACATAGAGCTCGAATGATGGACGCAGGAACCTACCCCCATGCTGTCATTGGGTGAATCAGATTTGCGACGAACTAGAAGGGCTGTCCTGTGCCGGCCGGGCCGGGGTGCCTACCTCCCAACAGACGCCCGAAATGGCAAGCCAACGAGGAGGAGGAGGCGGAGGAGGAGGAGGAGGAGGAGGAGGAGGAGGAGGAGAGGGAGGAGGAGGAGGAAAAGGAGGAGGAGGAGGAGGAGGAGAAGGAGGAGGAGAAGAGGCCGAGCTGCAGTGTGCTCCTCTTTTGCAGTATGCCACCGCGGCGTGGGAGCTATGGCACCCACGAGCGATGCTGGAGCAAGGATTGCGAGACGCTGTTGTCAGGCTCACTGGTCACGGCAATCCTTGGGCCAGCATCCGTGGCCCTTTCTCTGCGTGTGCTGCCACAGCTTTGCGTCTGGGCATCAGCATGCAAGGCTTTGTGTGGTCTCATCCTCGGCAAGGCGAGGTCTCTGTCGTGCAGTCAGGGCCTCGCACCGTCCGCAAGTGGCTCCACCAAGTGGTGCTGCAGTGGCTCTGGGAAAAAGTGGCCTCGAGAGAAGGTGTTCCTGAGCTTTCTCTTGGGTGCAATCTTCAGCCTCTGCAGTCCCTTTTAGCCTCTAATGGTCTCAGTCACGATGAGAAGGCCTACCTCAGGAGTGTTGTTGCTGGGGGGCAGTGGCCTCAGCATCGTCAGTGGCTTGCGCAGTACACCGCCGACCCCCTTTGCCGTTTGTGTCAGCAGGCCCCTGGCACGCTCCTGCATCGTCATGCGTGTTGTGCGGGCCACGATGACCTCATGGCACAGGAGGTCCCGCCTGAGTTTTTGGCCTCGGTTGTCAGAGCGTGCGTGGATCCTCTTCCTCTCCTCTTTGCCGAGAGGCTCCTCGTCCCCGAGGCCCCCCTTCCTCCTGCGCATCCCCTCCCTGATCGGTGGTTCGGCGGAGGACCCACCGAGATGGCAGGCCACATCTTTCTCGATGCCAGCTGGATGGACCAACATCTGCCGCCAGCGTCACAGGCTGTTGGGTGGGCCATTGTCAGCGTGCAGCCGCACCATCCGCACAAAGTCATTTCGGTGATGTGCGGCACTCTCCAATCGGCGTGCCGAGATGTTGACTGTGCAGAGCTGTTCGCCTTCAACCGTGCGTTGCAGCATAGCGCTCCTGGCAGTATTTTTTACACCGACTCTGCGTTCGTCCACGATGGTGTTTACCAGCGTGGCAAGGTGTACTGTTGTTCCTCGCGTGCTGCCTGGTCTGAGCTATGGGTTCAGGTCTGGCGCCGCATCGAAGACTGGGGCGGCATCGAGTGTGTCGACCTGCGCAAAGTCAAAGGCCATTGCACCGAAGCTCGCATCCAGTCTGGACTTTCGACTCGTTTTGAAAAAGAGGGTAACGCGCATGCTGATGAATGGGCTCAGTGGGTGGCCTCGAGAGCCCGCATAGACCCTGAGCTCCGCCGTGTTCGCAAAGCCAAGGCCCTCGTGCTCTCTCAGTGGGCCTCCTGGGTTGCGCGCATTGGGCCTCGTATGTGTGATGCTGATTGTGAGCATGTCCCTCGGCGGCAGCGCAAGGCTCGTGGCTCAGGCGCAGTGGACTGCCCTGTGCCAAGGGTGGTGGTGGAGCCCCCGCCGCCAATCACGCCGCGCAGCTTGTCGAGAGCAGACCTGGCTTCTGTACGGGTGCAGCTTGCGGATGAGAGACCGCATGTTATGCACCCCTTCGCCGTTATTGGGGACGGTGGGCGGAGGCTGTGGTGTACTGTGTGTGTGTTGTGTGCGGGTTGGGAGGAGTCAAGATCTCTGCGAATTTATCACAGGGTTGTCGAGGCCCTCCCGCATCTGGCACGTGGGATGCTCGAGTCCTCTCGGGCCTCACGCGTGCGCCTGCACGTTTCCAGGTCAATCGAGTGTGGCGGTACCTCGTGGATCCGCTGCGCACGGCCTCCCTGATCCGTGCAGGAGTGGTGCAGCCGCTCTCCAGCAGCGCTGCGCAGTGATGCGCGGCCTCCAGTCTGCCAGCCTGTGTGCTGGCCTCGCCTTTCATTTCTGGGCACTGTTCGGGAGGCGCCACCCGCCTCTGGCTCTTGCCATGCGGTGGCGTAAGTGGCATGTGGCGCGGACAACCTTGTTCGCGTTCAGGCTGAGTCGAGGAGGAGAAGAGGGAACAGGAGCAGGAGGAGTAGGAGGGCGATGCGGGCCTGCAGGGGGGCCCACCTCCTCCCCCCTAATCCCTCGCCCATTCACCTCCTCTATACTCCTTCCTCCCCTCCCCCCCTCTTCTATACTCCTCCTCCTACTCCTCCTCCTCCTCCTCCTCCTCCTCCTCCTCCTCCTCCTCCATTGCCCCTCCTCCCTCGTCACTCCTCATCCTTCCCCCTCCTCCCTCGTCACTCCTCCTCCTTCCCCTCCTCTCCCTCCTCACCCCGTCCTCTTCGCCTCGTCCTCACTCCTCCTCCTCAGGCCTGAACGCTTCCTTCTGCAAGATCTGGCGAATCATCGCCGTCGTCCTCGTAGTCACCTTGTCCCCGATATCCTGGCTGTTCGGGAGCGAGTCTGCTATCATCTTTACGTTTTCCTGCGGAAGCCAACAGGATGGAGGAGCGATGATGATGATGATGATGATGAGGAGGAGGAGGAGGAGGAGGAGCAGGAGGAGGAGGACAAGGAAAAGGAAGATGATGATGGGGAGGAGCAGGAGGAGGAGGAAGAGGAGGACATCAACTTTCGGAGGTCCGCGCGGATCTCTTGGATCTGCACTGGGCCACCCCGGCCCTGGCGCGCGGAGCGCGCCCGGGGCGGCGCCGGAGGCGTCGCCAGGGGGCCCCAGCGCCGATGCGAGAAGTCTGCGCGGAGCTCCGAAAGTTTACGTTTGTGCTGTGTCGATGTTTGCCTCCCTCGACTTCCTGGATCCCGATGATCATATCCTTTGGGAGGGCGGCAAAAAAGCGGGGGTGGGGTGGGGGCTGGGGAGCACTAGACGCGCGTGGGGGGGCGGGGGGGGGGGCACGGACTGCGGGAAGGTGGCCCTCCAGGGGCCCCGAACGCCTGCAGCCCAGAACTTGCGCTCGGCGTGCCGCGAGCGCGGCCCCCCCGGGACACGCGGTGCCCTGCGAGCGGATGCAGCGTGCCGCTCCTCGCCGCGGGGCGGGGGGGCTTCGCAGGGCTCGGGGACAGCGCGTCGCGGCGAGGCGTGGTGGGCCGGACCCGGCCGCGCGACACGCCAAGCCCAACCTCCTTACCGCAGGCGGCCGCAGAACTGCCACCGCGGGCCAGAGAGGTGCACGGCCACATCCGCCCAGAATCGGTCCCCGGACCACCGTGACGAAAGTTCTCTTCAGTCTGCCTTCGCCAATGGCGCATCAGCACGGGGAAACTTCGGAGTAGAAATGCTCCAACTGTTCCGCGCGCGGGCGCATCCCACTCGATCATAGATAGGGCTGGGGCAGAGTAGTTTCCAATCCGGCTTTGGGTTAACAGAATTACAGGCGTTGAGCGTATCGGGAACTACTCCGCATAATGACGCAGTCTTCATGTCATGTCTGGAATACATGAAGGGAGAAGCGAAATATCGTCATCAAAACAAAGTAAGAAACTTTTGTCACGGCTGTGTGGACCCCTCCCAAGGTCCATCTGGAGCATTTTTTCACCATGGATCCGTTTTTGACCGTCCCGGGGGCCCGAAGCGGCCCCAAAGGCCGACAATGACAAAAAACCCTGTCGAGCCCAACGCCTCGAACCCCGCCCCTCCATCCTGCTCGCTGGAACCAATACCGGATCACCTCAAACCCCCAGAAAGCCCGCAGCCGGCTCCAACCCCCGTTAAAGCACACCTGGATCCTCCAGCACCTTCTTGGCGTGCCGGGACTCCTGCAACTGGATGAGCATGTCCAAGGACTTCGCGCTGCCCCTCAGGCGCAGGCACGCGCTCAGGAACTCCTCGAATTGCACCTCCCCGTTCCCGTCGACGTCGAGCAGGGCGAACACGTACGTGGCCTCGTCGCGCGCGCGAGAGGTCGCAACAACAAAAACATCACGGACATTTGTGGTTGTTTTCGGCCTCTGCGGGCCAATGCCGGGCCCCAAGACTATCGCAGATCGATCCGGCTCGAGAAATTGCCGCAGAAATATCGCGTCGAATGATCAGCTCGTGACGTCTCGCGATCTTGCAATTTATCCCACGACGTCGGACGAAAGAGGCAGAACAGGTGGAGGGTGAGAAGGAGAAGGGACGAGGGAGGAAGCAGGAGAACGGGGGGGAGGAGGAGGAGGAGGAGGAGGAGGAGGAGGAGGAGGAGGAGGAGGAGGAAGGAGGAGGAGGAGGAGGAGCGGGGGAGGAGGAGGAGGAGGAGGAGGAGGAGGAGAGGAGGAGGAGGAGGGAGGAGGAGGAGGGAGGAGGAGGAGGGAGGAGGAGGATGGAGGAGGAGGAGGAGGAGAGAGAGGGAAGGAGGAGGAGGAGGAGGGATGATGAGAGGGGGGGGGAGGAGGACGAGGAGGAGGAGGGGGGAGGGGAGGAGGAGGAGGAGTGAGGAGGAGGAGGAGGAGGAGGAGGAGGAGAGGAGGAGGAGGAGGAGGAGGGAGGAGAAGGAAGGCGCGAAGGAGGGGGAGAGGGACGAGGAGGGGGGGAAGGAGGAGGAGGAGCAGGAGCAGGAGCAGGAACAGGAGGAACTACCTCGACTGCTGTGCCCCCCAGCCTAGAAGCTGCTGCGCTTCGCTGAGGTTGGCAGTGTCCGACCGACCGAACGACCGAGGAGGAGGAGGAGGAGGAGGAGGAAGAGGAGGAGGAGGAGGAGGAGGAGGAAAAGGAAAAAGAGGAGGAAGAGGAAAAGGAGGGAGAGGAGGAGGAGGAGCAGGAGGAGGAGGAGGAGGAGGAGGGGGAGATGAGCATAGGGAGTCCTCGGTCCTCGCCTACCCTGCCTGCCCCAAGGCCCCTCGGCGAGAGGAGCATGGGCAGCGGGGGGCGGCACTCCTGCTTCGAGGACGTCGCTGTTGCCGACGAGCAGCAATAGCGGAGCGCGGGCGCACTCTCTCGGGCGCGCTCTACGAGCATGGGGCACAGGCGTGAGTGGAGGGAAGGGGCGAGGCGCAGCAGAAGCACCAGCAGGGATCAGGAGGGACGGACAGAGAGGGGGAGGAGTCCGAGCGGTAACGTGAGGCGGTGACATATTGGGCGAGAGGGCGCAGGCTCACAGCTGCTCAGAAGACGGGAATAGCAGATCACACCGTCGTCGCAGTCGGATCCGCAAGGCGAGGCGGGAGCAGTAGAGGCCAACCCGGTCGGCGGCGAGGAGGAAGCCGAAGACGAAACGATAGGGGTAAGACGAGAACTGCGGCGGTGACGGGAAGAGCGTTCACGCGGTTCCGTTCTTGGTAGGGCGTCAGCCCGGTCGGTGCCAATCTTTGCAATATTTATCATGGTGCCACCTTGGACGCTTGGGGGGGGTCGGGAGGCCGTCTTGGTGTCCCTTGGGGGTGCGGCTCGCTGTGCTGGTCTGTTGCGTCTTGCTGTGCTGTGTGGCTGTCTGCGTCGTCGCTGCTGTTGGTTGCGTTGGGGCCGTCGCCAGGTGCTTCGTTGGTCGCGCCGTCGTCCGCGCCGCGTTGGCTATTGCGAGGGATTGTGCTGTGAATAGCACGTCGCCATGTCATTCTGATGGCCATGCGGAACGTGCGTCGTTGCGTTCGTCGCAGGCGTTGCCGGAGAGGTTCCGCGAGCGTCCAGGTCTCTCCTTCGCGCAGTGACGTCGGGGTTACAGTGCTATTGAAACGTCGAAGCCTGCGCGCCAACGGGTAGTGCTTGCTGGTCAACTCCTGTGTGCACGAGGTGAATGATGTCCATCTGGCTCTCGTGTGGTGGTGGATATCTGTCTCCATCGCGTCGCGGAAGCTGATGAGTTGACACAAATAGTTGGTGCTGCCCTCGTGTGACAAGATGTTTATGTCCATGCCCTCAAAGCGCGCCGCGCGCGAGCTCGCCCTGCCGGTCCGTCTCGCCGGGCAGCTCAGTGCCTTGGTTTTGGGACGGTGCAGCTCGAGTCCACGCGATTGCGCTGCGCGCAATATCTTCGAGCATCGTGGCGAGTCGCGAACGAGTCTGGCTGGGTAAAAGCACGTCGTCGGCGACGCGAAGGTTGGCGAGCGTGGTGGCGGTGGGCCCCAGCTCAACGCCCTTGCCCTTCTTTGTCATCCGGTGATCAGCGGTTTGAGAATGCGTTGTAGCAGAGCGTTCGAGAGAAGGGAAATGAGTGGCCCCCCTTGTTTCGCGCCCTATGAGAGGCTGAAGGGCCGGCTGGTTACGTCCGTCTCGACTCCGGCTTCCTGCTGGAGTAGAGAGAGATGTATCCCGGCTGGACACCTTGCGCCAAGAGTGCTGCCCATATGCTCTCGTGGTCGACCGCGTCGAAAGCCTTTCTGAAGCCGAGCGCTGCAACCCGCGGGTTCTGGCTCCATTCGCGCGCGCGCTCTCGAAGAGTGTGACATGGCAAAAGGTGGTCGGTGGGCGGGTGTCCTGGTCTGAAGCCTGCTTGGTCAGCTGTCTGTCGAGAGTCGAGTGCTGCTTGGAGTCGGTTGAATAATAGCCTGCTGAAAAGTTTTAAAGCAGCGGCGCGCTTGAGGAAGCGTGAGACCCCCACTTTTTGGAATTGCCATGACAACCGCGCTCTTCCAGCTGGCCGGTGGAGGAGCACTGGATTGCAGGATCGCGCTGTAGAGGCGCAGCAATGCCTCTTTGATTTCTTCCGCGCCTTCCGTCAGCATCTCTGCTCGGAGGCCCTTGGTGTCGGGGGCTTTGACGAGGCGAAGCCCTCTGCTCGCCTTTTCTAACTCTTTTCGTGTGAAAGGTGGGAGGTCGTCGTCAGGTCGCTCCGGCTGCGTCGTCTCTGCCGTTGAGTCGTAAAGGTGCTCGTAGAATCCCGCGAAAACGTTAGCAGCGTCTTGTCTAGTCGCGCGTTTGGCGCCGTCTTCGTCTGTCATGCGCGCGATGGGAGTCTGCTTTCTGCGTGTTCTGGTGCACGTGATGCTCTGTCTCTGAACCCGTCGGGTACGTAACTTATACGAGCTCATCGTTTCCTCCGCTTCTGCGCGCGGATCGCCTGCTGCAAAAGTTTGCTCGACTGCTCGCGTGCTTGACGATCGTTATTCGGTGTCTGGTGACGCTGCTCTAGTACGGAGTGCAATCGCTCTTCTCGCGTGTCAGGCGGGCGGTCTCCTAGTGGCTCCCCAGTAGTGCGAGCTAGCAGCAACGGCCTCGATGATATCGTTTAGGATGTGGTCGCTCAGTGCTTGTGGGTCGGATGGTAGTTCCTTTGGGTGTAGTCGTGGACGGTTGGGTTCGGTGCTGCTTGTGGCGCCGCTGGTCGGTGGTCGGCGTAGGTCGGCGGAGCGTGCTGGTCGGGCAGGGTCGGCGCTGCTTGCAATGGTGCTGCTGGTCGGTGCTGGTTGGCGAGTGTTGTCTGGCGGCGTTGGTCGGTTGGGGTCGGTGCTGCCTGTGGTGCTGCTGGTCAGTGGTCGGCGTTGGCCGGTGGAGTGCGCTGGTCGGGCGGGGTCGGCACTGCTTGCGGTGGTGCTGCTGGTCTGGTCGGTGCTGGTCGGTGGCGAGTGGCGCTGGGAGTTGCTGGTCGGTTGGAGTCGGCGCTGCTTGTGTTGGTGCTGCTGGTCGACGCCTGTCGATGGATGTTACTGCTGGTCGGGTGGGGTCGCTGCTGCTGCTGGTCGGCGCTGGTCGGTGGCGAGAGCTGTCTGGCGGCGTTGATCGGTTGGGGTCGGTGCTGATTTTGACGCCGCTGGTCGGCGGTCGGCGTTGGTCGGTGGAGCGTGCTGCTCGGGCGGGGGCGGCGCTGTTAATGGCGCTGCTGGTCGGTGGTCAGCGTTGGTCGGTGGGGCGTGCTGGTTGGGCGAGGTCGGCGCTGCTTGCGGTGGCGTTGCTCGGCGGCGCTGGTGCTGCGTCTGCTGGTTGTCGGTCGCCGCTGCCCGCGGCAGTGCTGAGCGGTGGAAAATGCGCTTCAGTAGGTCGCCGTCTGCGCGCGCGCAGTACCTGCCGCCCCCGGCGCGGAGCGCCGACGTCGTGGGCGCGATTGGCCGCGAAGCCGGAGTCGACGCTGCGTGTCCTGAGGGGGCTGTTCCTGTAGGAGGGGGTTAAACGATGAAATCATCGATTACGTCTCGCGTCTTATTCTGGGAGCATAGGGCGGGGGCAGGAGGGGGGAACAAAGGGGAATCGAATGCCCATCTGGACGAACTCGGGGGAGGGGTGAAACGCAAACATACGCATTGGGGCGCGCTGGATTCGCGCGCTTGGCGGCCGCCCCTGTCGCTGGCCCCTGTCCGCGGGCGGGTCCGCTGGCACCTGTTTCTCCGCATTTTTTTGGCTGCCGCCGTGGTGGTCCAAATCCATTATTTGCTGTGCCGCCCAATTGGTCGTCTCCCAAGAGGGCCAACTTCTTGGGCCACAAAATTCTTGATCTCGATGTATTTGCCCTTGTTGTCGGCGCGTTCGCGGTGCGCGGTGTAGCCGAGGCGTTTGTCCTGCCCCTGCCCCCTGATCATCAAATTGTCCTCGAACACCTTGCTTTTGATCATCGGATCGTCCTTATGATTGCGGCATTTTCTGTAGATTTCCACTTTGGCGGGGATCGAAGGGGAACTGATGATGCCCATTTTCGCATGGCCGGTCCGGGTAGACACTTTACTACCATTGTGGCCATCGCCAAATACTTTAACATATATACTTTCGATATCCTCTATGATCTTTTTAGCTGCTAGACGCTCCTGAAATCCAAATACCACGATTGCCTCGTGCGCGCTTCTGCGTCGAAGTGTCCGGTGGTGGGGAGGTCGTGGTTGTGATTGTTCTCGATGGCGTTGATCTTCGCGCCCCTGATGTCGACGTGCTGGTTGGCCTTCTCGATGTCGCGCTCCACTCCCGCGATGCCGATTTGCGCGGCGAGCGCGGATTGTTGGGCTGATGTTGCAGAGGCGCGGGCCTCCTGAGCGACCCTGACGCTCTCGTCGAC